TCCCACCCACTGTTTCTACATGCCTCCTCCCTCAGCTGCGTCAGACAACAGACAGACTTTAAGGAAGAAGGTCTCACATAGCGTTTGTGAGATACTACAGGAAGAACTAACCTTTACTAATCAGTATTGTGAAGTTGCATTGATGAGTCACACACAATATCGTTACAAAGTTAACGCGCGCACACACACACAAACACACACACCGCAGATGATACACACACACACACACAGGCAGGCAGGCAGGCAGACAGACAGAGCGTGCTTAGCCTAGTTAAGGCTAACCTCAAGTGTGGATATCTGTTATGCTAATGTAATAAACCTGATTTAACTTCCACAAACCGGGATTGAAGCGTCTTCTTTTATAATTGTTCTGACACGCGGCTGTGCTGATGAAGTAAAGCTGAAGTAAAACGCTGTAATTAATTACACACATACTCTGTTTTAAAACACTTTAAACATGTGAAACTGACTCTTAATCACATTTGATGATGATTGCTGATCCTAGCGAACAGAACAGAGCTTTTATTCCCGGTTGCTTTGCGTCTGTCTGGTCTTGTTGACATTTACACGTGACTACCGGAACATGTTAATGCGCGCAGCAGTCAATCAATTCGGTGGGCGGGGGGATCGCACACCTACGTAATGGTGTGATCGATTTAAAAACAGCTCCAATTGGCCGACCCTTTTTTTTGGTAGTTAAATTGAAAAAAAAGGACTGGGTGTGTTCATATCACCCCAGTATGACGGTCTATACACTATACCAACACACAGATCTGTCCAAACAGCTTAAAAAGTAGATTTTTTACCATAGGTGCCCTTTAAAAAAATGTTATATTGTTAAAACGTTACTTCCAGAAATGTTACATTGTTTAAACGTTACTTTCAGAAATGTTGCAGTTAAAATTCTATTTTCAAAAATGTTATATTCATAAAACGTTACTTCCAGAAATATTACATTGTTAAAAAGTTACTTCCAGAAATGCTACATTGTTAAAATGCTATTTTCAAAAATGTTACATTGTTAAATGTTACTTCCAGAAATGTTACATTGTGAAAAACGCTACTTTCAGAAATAATACTTTCTTACGCTCCATTAATAAAACATTATTTCACTGCTACTTGTAAAACAGTTTGTTTTTTAATTATTAATTTTTAGAGCTACATTTTTTCTAGAAAACAACACAATCCCTTCAGTCATTTTGTCTCTAAAGTAAACTGACTGTCAAATGTTTAGACATCTGTATTGGAGAGCAGATTAAAAAAACGTGTCCAGAAAACAATCTGACAAACATGATATATTCATATCAAAGAAGTGGACAGTAATAATCCGCTTTGATGTCGACTCTAAATAAATAATATTGCTATTTTTCAAAGCTGTCGGCGAGATGCAGAAGCTCTGAGAGATGTTTATGGAAACGCTCTGCCTGTCAGGAAGTGTTTCTCAACTTCTTAAAATGGAAATAGCTTTTTTTCTCCTAAAGCAAAATGGAATAAACATTCTGCCAGCGTAGACGAGATGTTTGCTTTTACAGAAGATGAATTATCTCCCGCTCAGAGATGCAATCGAGCATTATGATGCTGACATTATGTAAGAAAAGTCACGCAGTGAGTTTGGTCTGCAGGTAGAAGCTTATCAGAGTGAATGAAAGTAATTAAATCAACTGTCCCTCAAACAAATCCCCTCAAAAGACATTTATCAGGATCCACCGCTGTGATGCTGTGAGCCGAGCGTTTTGTCCGGATGAAAGAGCTTGAACTCATCACAGGAAAGTTGCAGACGGCGGCACTTTCTGTGCGGTTAAGAAGACAGGAAAACACCAGGAGCGAACGCTTTATTTACACATAACCTTCATGAGGACACAGCTGAAGCTACACAATTTCCCCCAATTTCTGTTTAACGGAGAGAAGATTTTTATTAACACGTTTCTAAACATAATAGTTTTAATAACACATCTCTAATAACTGATTTATTTTCTCTTTGTCATCATGACAGTAAATAATATTAGACTAGATGTTCTTCAAGACACTAGTGTTCAGCTTAAAGTGACATTTAAAGGCTTATCTGGGGTAATTAAGGTAAAGTTAGGGTAATTAGGCAAGTTATTGTATAACAGTGGTTTGTTCTGTAGACAATCCAACATTTCTATTGCTTAAGAGGGCTAATAATATTTACATTCATTCATTCATTTTGTTTTCAGCTTAGTCCCTTTGTTAATCTGGGGTCACCACAGCAGAATGAACCGCCAACTAATCCAGCACATGTTTTACAAAGTTGCTGCCCTTTCTGCTAAAACCCATCACTGGGAAACAATTGTACACATTTATGAACACTCATACACTATGGATAATTTAGCTTACCCAAATCCCCTATAGCTCATGTGTTTGGACTGTGGGGGAAACCGGAGCACCCGGAGGAAACCCATGCGAACGCAGGCAGAACATGCAAACTCCACACAGAAATGCAGACTGATCAAGCCGAGGCTCGAACCAGCGACCTTCTTGCTGTGAGGCGACAGCACTACCTACTGCGCCACCACGTCGCTGTCTTTTAAATATCAATTAGGAAATATTTGAAAAAAAAATATTCACAGGAGGGTGAAAAAATATGACTGTAATAGTTTATTTGAGATTTGGAATAAAATACATGAAAATAAAGCAAATAAAAATGATGAATAATTGGTCATCAGTTCCAGAAATATGGTGTATTGCAATTAATATAAATTATGTATAGGACATAAAACTTTACATTTGGATTTTGCATATATAAAATGTCACATATGCAACATATATTTAGAAATATTGGCATTTTTTCAGTCATTGGATATAGATATATAGTTGACGTCAAAATTATTCGCCCCCCTTTGATTTTTTTCTTTTTGAAATGTTTCCCAAATGATGTTTAACAGATTCAGGAAATGTTCACAGCATGTCTGATAATATTTTTTCTTCTGGAGAAAGTCTTATTTGTTTTATTTCGGCTAGAAAAAAAGCAGTTTTTAATTTTTTAAACACCATTTTAATGTCAATATTATTAGCCCCTTTAGGCAAATTTTTTTCGATAATCTACAGAACAAACCATCGTTACAACTTAACTTGCCTAATTACCCTAACCTGCCTAGTTACCCTAATTAACCTAGTGAAGCCTTTAAATGTCAAATGTCAGAATATCTAGTCTAATATTATTTACTGTCATCATGGCAAAGAAAAAAATAAATCAGTTATTAGAGATGAGTTATTAACACTATTATGATTAGAAATGTGCTGGAGAAATCTGCTCTCAGTTAAACAGAAAACAGGGGGGGGGGGGTGAATAATGACTTCAACAAGTTTTTAAATAAATGAACATATATACACATATATGCATTGTATTTCAAAACAAATCTACATATTGGTAATTCCAATGGATGAAAAAAATATGTAAGCAGACATTTTTTGCCATATTTTGAAATACATGTTGCATTTATGACATTTTCATTCATTCGTTTTCCTTCAGCTTAGTCCCTTTATTCATCAGGGGTCATCACAGCGGAATGAACCGCCTACTATTCCAGCATATGTTAAAACAGTGGACAACCAAGCCACAACCAAGTACTAGGAAACACCCATACACATTCACACACACACACACACACACACACACACACACACACACACACACACACACACACACACTCATTCACTTTGACCAATGTAGTTCATCAATTCCCCTAAAGTGCATGTGTTTGGGCTGTAGAACATGCTAACTCCCCACTGAAATGTTAACTGACCCAGCTGGGACTCGAACCAGCAACCTTCTTGCTTTGAAGCCACAGTGCTAACCAGTGAGCCACCATGCCGCCTCATTTGTGTCAATTTCAAAAATGAACTTGAATGTCATGTATGCACTTGCATATATACATCACATTTCATTACGGCGTTCATTTCACGGTGGCTCAGTGGTTAGCACTGTGGCCTCACAGCAAGAAAGTCACTGGATCAAATCCCGGCAGGGTCAGTTGGTGTTTCTGTGTGGAGTTTGCATGTTCTCCCCGTGTTGGTGTGGGTTTCCTCCGGGTGCTCTTGTTTCCCCCACAGTCCAAACACATGCGCTATAGGGGAACTAATGAACTAAATTTTCCATAGTGTACGAGTGATTGTGTGAATCAGTGTGTATGGGTGTTTCCCAGTACTGGGTTGCAGCTGGAAGGGCATCCGCTGTCTGAAACATATGCTGGATGAGCTGGTGGTTCATTCCGCTGTGGCGACCCTTGATGAATAGAGGGAATAAGCCGAAGGTAAATGAATGAATGAACTGATTGCTATTATTTGAGCTTGTATAGTGTTTGAGTTACGCTGCATTCAGCCGGTGCTTTTATTCGTTTTTTTCATCAATTCGTGCATTCAGTGGGAATGCTTGTCTGATTAGATCCAATAAGTGATGTTGTATGCACAAAATCAATACAGCTAATCTGCACACAGAAAACAATGCAACAATGCAAAATAACTTTATATTTCTTAAATATTATTTAAAAGTGCAATTTTTATTTTTTTTAACAATCTGAAAAACCTTTTAGCCTCAATTCTCTACTCTTAAATAGACATATAGCTCTTTGAGAAGCGAAATTATTAACATTTATGAACATTATGATTTTATGAAAAAATGCAATACACTTACGAGTCTATATGAGTCTAACCTGGGAGGTTAATTTCAAACAAACTCATTTCATTTTGATACATCTTTACTTCATCTTCAATAAGCATCAGCTAATTACAGTTTTCATTTTTATTAAATGTATCTTGGTCTAAGAAATGTTTAAATGTTAAAAAACCCAAAACACAGAGGATAAAACACACATTTCGACTTGAAGAGCCTTTTGTGCAACTGTTAAAGATTCCTGATGGCCTCAATGCCAATGAGTGGTTAATTATGAAATGATCATGGATGCTGAAAGTCAAGGTTTTGAGTCTGATTTTAAGGATATTTCCCAGATTTGTCCATAAATTACACTGCACTTGGAGGGTGCTTTATTAGTTTTTTTTAATCAATTAATGCATTTAGTTGGATTGCTTGTCTGAATCGATCAAGTAAGTGATGTTGTACGCACAAAATCAATACAGCGATGTACATCTGCATTTTCATAAGTCAAGCTAATTGAGAAGCAAAATGACGAACATTTTATTACTGCGTCAAAAATGAGCCAAAATGCTGAAAATCACAATTGAAAGATTTAAGAGGGGAAATTGCTTCATTTCGCTTTTCCAATACATGCATCTTAATTAAAAAATGTTTAAATATTTGTGCTGGAAATTAAAAAAAAAAAAACATTTTAAATGAAGAACAACGACTGCAATGCCTGTGAAAGATTGCTTAAATCCCAATAAATGAAAGCTGAAAGTCACAATTTTGAGTCTCACTTTAACAGTTCTTAAGCGGATCTGGAACACACTCCTCATCCTCAAACACACACTCTCTTCACCTGCGGCTCCAGCAGACAGTCAGCAGATGGTTCTCCAGATCTCTTCAGTGGATGCTGGTACCCGGGCTCCAGCCGCTGCTTGGGGTCCTTTATCAGCTGATACCTGGCCTCCAGTGGGTCCTTGGGGTCCTTTAAAAGCTGATACCTGGAGTCCATCAGGTCCTTGGTGTCCTTTATTGGCTGGTACCTGGGCTCCAGCAGATTCTTGGGGTCCTTTATCAACTGAAACCTGGGCTCCAGCGAGTCTTTGGTGTCCTTCAGCGGCTGGTATCTGGGCTCTAGCAAGTTCTTGGGGTCCTTTATCAGCTGGTACCCAGGATCCAGCCCATCCTGATTTTTTGGAGGCTGGGACCCAGGCTCCAGCAGGTTCTTGGGGTCCTTTATCACCTGAAACCTGGGGTCCAGCAGGTGCTTGGGACTCTTTAGTGGCTGATACCCAGGCTCTAGCAGGTCCTTGGTGTCCTTTAATGGCTGGTACCCAGGCTCCAGCAGATCCTGCTTTAGTGACTGATTTCCAGGCTCCAGCAGGTCCTGATGGTCCTCTGGCGGCTGGTACCCAGGCTCCAGCGGGTCCAGAGGGTCCTTGGAGAGCAGGATGCTGATGGAGGGCAGTGTCCGGTGCACTGTCACCTGGGCGTCTCCTCTGTCCTGGCTCTCCCAGACCTCCCGCAGGCCCCGGTACTGCAGTTTGCTGATCTGATGGAGTCCCGGCATCTTCCTCTTCATGATCTCAGCACAGGTGATGGTTTTGGTGACTGCGCGTCCGGAGCCACTGAACACCACCTGTCGGAGTGCGGCTCCGTCTTGCATCCGCGCCATGGAGAAGCCCATCAGATTGCGGATTTTACTGCCTTCTTTGACTCTCATCTCCAGCACGCCGGCAGTGAGGTTGGGGAACGGACAGCAGAGCTCGTCCTCCAGCCGACACACTCGCTTAAAGCCCGCAGAATTGTTGAGCTGGAGGTTTGCAGAGCCGGACAGCTCCATTATTGGCCTCAAGAGTGATTCATAATCATTATCAGGATCTAATTACATTACAAAACACAGCACGGGTCTCAGTCTGAAAAGTGCTGGGATTTACCCACATGTCTCCTAAATGCAGCATCCATGCAACTTTTTTTGGATTGATGTGCTGATTGCTGGATTTTGAGTGCACTTACTTCTGTCGCTGCTGTCTCTGTGTCTGCGCTCTCAGCTGATGTGCTCTTCAGTTTGTGGATCTGCTCTCGCTGGAGTGAATCTGCTGTCTTACGCTGAGATTTTCCTCCTCATGCGCTGCTGGAGTCCCTCTGTTCCTCAGTGGAGACTTGTGCTGCCTCGTAAATGCTGGATGAGAGAGAGAGAGAAAGAGAGAGAAAGAGAGAGAGAGGGGGGGGGTTGCTTTCTTAAAGCAACAGTAACCTCAAATCAACACTTGTTTAGGAATCTGTTGATGGTGGGATCTATTCTTCTGTTGAAAATGGAAAATAAATCAACCCAGGCTGACTGGAGATACATGCCTCAGGCTATATTTCTTCAGTACGTAAAATAAGTTGCTCCGGTTACACTTCTGTGCAGTTTCTGATGTCAAATCCAGTAGAGGGAGCTGTCTCCATTTGTATTTAAATCTGAGATACTTTACTTATGGAATGCGTTGTTGTACATTTTCATATGACAAACCAAATGGAGGGCGCCGTCTCATTTGGCCATTACATCTGTAAAATGTGATGTTAATGCTCTTCATACAGGAGAGATCCATTTAGACGGACACAATCAAATGGCTTCTTATCACCTGCGCACACTTGAGTTATTCAGCAACATCTCTGCTGTTCTTTCCATCCTTTAATCCATCTTTAATTAACCTGTGATCAGAAATGAGCTTAACGTGATGCTCTTTCCCACTATAAAGCTCATTTATGCACAGTAATGCATTTCTTGGATGCTCTTATCTCAAACTTCTTATATATTGCATTTGTTTTTTATCAGTTCATTTTAAAAACACTTTTCTTATTTAGAGTTTTTGTATCATTTCTAATCCAAATATCAATTCTTTAATCAAGAAGTGTTTTACACAAGCAAAAAAGTCAAAATAGATAAAGAGGCAAAACATTGGTTCAAACAGGGACAAAACAATGAAATAAACATGGGCAAAACATTGTGGCAAAACATTAGTTCAAAGGTGGGCAAAATATTGGGGCAAAACATTGGGGCAAACATAGGCAAAATATTATTTCAAACATGGGCAAAACATTAAATCAAACATAGGCAAAACGTAGTGGAAAATCATTGGGTCAAACATGGGCAAAATATTAGGGCAAAACATTGAGTCAAAAAGGGCAAATATTTGGGCAAAACATGGGCACAACATTGGAGCAAAACATTGGGTCAAACATGGGCAAAACATTGGAGCAAACCATTGGCAAAACATAGGCAAAACATCGATTCAAACATGGGCAAAACACTGAATCAAACGTAGGCAAAATGTAGGGGCAAATCATTGGGAAAAAAATTGGGTCAAACATGGGCAAAACAATAGGGCAAAAAATGGTCAAAACATTTGGTCAAACATGAACAAAACATTGGGTCAAAGGTGCAAAACAGCTGGCCAAAACATGGGGTCAAACATGTGCAAAACATTAGGTCAAAGGTGCAAAACAACTGGCCAAAACATGGGCAAAACATTGGGTCAAACATGGGCAAAACATTGATTCAAACATGGGCAAAACATTGAGTCAAACATGGGCAAAACATTGGGTCAAAGGTGCAAAACAACTGGCCAAAACATGGGCAAAACATTGGGTCAAACATGTGCAAAACATTGGGTCAAAGGTGCAAAACAACTGGCCAAAACATGGGCAAAACTTTGGGTCAAACATGGGCAAAACATTGGGTCAAACATGGGCAAAACATTGGGTCAAACATGGGCAAAACATTGGGTCAAACATGGGCAAAACATTGGTTCAAACATGGGCAAAACATTGGTTCAAACATGGGCAAAACATTGGTTCAAACATGGGCAAAACATTGGGTCAAACATGGGCAAAACATTGGGTCAAACATGGGCAAAACATTGGTTCAAACATGGGCAAAACATTGGTTCAAACATGGGCAAAACATTGGTTCAAACATGGGCAAAACATTGGTTCAAACAAGGTCAAACATTGGTTTAAACAATTTCGCCTTCATTCAACATGACTTGCAAACACGTATAAGAGCTCTTTCAAACAATTCTTACACAACGGACAGCAACATCCACAATACACAACCCTGAATTGCCTCCATTGCTGCTCATTTATCATCAGAGCCATTTATTGACATTCTTTATAGAGGCAGTGTCAAATTTGCCTTTTTGCAATGAATTGGATCCAGAATAAGAAAGGCTTTAAAGCATTTTTTAACAATACATGACGTTCATTTTTTTCATACTGTGGCCGTAAACAGAAACACAACTAGTATAGTGCTGATGAAAATTGAGTGGATGCTAATGTCTTTAACCAGCTCAAAGCAATCAAGAATAACTGTAACATCAAGCGTATGCTAAACTCAGCAGACAGCCCTGTACCTTTAATAAATCAGCCCAGATCCCCTAAAGCTCCAGTGCTGATGTGTTTAAAGGACGTCCGGCAGCAACTAGAGGAACGCTGACAATTAAACCACAGTTCTGGAACACAGAGCCAAAGACATTTTCTGAAAGTGTGAATGAAATTAGCTGCAATCTAATTGAAAAGCTCCTTCACAGAGCAGATGAAAGTCAGGCTGTAAATGCGCTGTGATTGGCCTTTATCCTCCACATGCATTTGGCCATTACATCTGCATAATGTGATGTTAATGCTCTTCATACAGGAGAGATCCATCCAGACGGACACAATAAAATGGCTTTTTATCACCTGCGCACACTTGAGTTATTCAGCAACATCTCTGCTGTTCTTTCCATCCTTTAATCCATCTTTAATTAACCTGTGATCAGAAATGAGCTTAACGTGATGCTCTTTCCCACTATAAAGCTCATTTATGCACAGTAATGCATTCCTTGGATGCTCTTATCTCAAACTTCTTATATATTGCATTTGTTTTTTATCAGTTCATTTTAAAAACGCTTTGCTTATTTATTTATTTTTTCTTATTCTTATTTTCTTATTTCTAATCCCAATATCAATTCTTAAATTTAATAAGCGTTTTACACAAGTAAAAAAAGTCAAAATACTAAGTCAAAATGGATAAAGTGGCAAAACATTGGTTCAAACGGGGACAAAACATGGGCAACACTGGGGCAAAAAAATGGAGCAAAACATTGGTTGAAACATGGTCAAAATATTGGTTCAAACATGGGCAAAACAATAGGTTAAACATAGGCAAAACACTGTGTCAAACATGGTCAAAATATTAGTTCAAACATGGGCAAAATAATTGGGCAAAACATTGGTTTTAATGTGGCCAAAATATTGGGGCAAAATGTTGGTTCAAATGTGGGCAAAATATTGGGGCAAAACATTGAATCAAACATAGGCAAAATGTAGGGGCAAATTATTGGGTCAAACATGGGCAAAACATGGGCAAAATATTAGGGCAAAACATTGGGTCAGACATGGGTAAAACATTGGGTCAAAACATGGGCAAAACATTGGAGCAAACATGGGCAAAACATTGAATCAAACATGGGCAAAACCTTGGGGCAAAACATTGGGTCAAGCATAGGCAAAACATTGGGTCAAAACAATGGGTAAAACATGGGCAAATCATTGGGTGAAACATGGGCAAAACAATGGGGCAAAACATTGGTTCGAACATGGGCAAAACATTGGGGCAAACATGAGCAAAACATTGGGTGAAACATGGGCAAAACAATGGGGAAAACATTGGTTCGAACATGGACAAAACATTGGGGCAAACATGAGCAAAACATTGGGGCAAACATGGGCAAAACATTGGGTCAAACATGGGCAAAACATTGGGGCAAACATGAGCAAAACATTGGGTCAAACATGGGCAAAACATTGGGTCAAACATGGGCAAAACAATGGGGAAAACATTGGTTCGAACATGGACAAAACATTGGGGCAAACATGAGCAAAACATTGGGTCAAACATGGACAAAACATTGGGGCAAACATGAGCAAAACATTGGGTCAAACATGGGCAAAACATTGGGGCAAACATGAGCAAAACATTGGGTGAAACATGGGCAAAACAATGGGGCAAAACATTGGTTCGAACATGGGCAAAACATTGGGGCAAACATGAGCAAAACATTGGGGCAAACATGGGCAAAACAATGGGGCAAAACATTGGTTCGAACATGGGCAAAACATTGGGGCAAACATGAGCAAAACATTGGGTCAAACATGGGAAAAACATTGGGTCAAACATGGGCAAAACATTGGGGCAAACATGAGCAAAACATTGGGTCAAACATGGGCAAAACATTGGGTCAAACATGGGCAAAACAATGGGGAAAACATTGGTTCGAACATGGACAAAACATTGGGGCAAACATGAGCAAAACATTGGGTCAAACATGGACAAAACATTGGGGCAAACATGAGCAAAACATTGGGTGAAACATGGGCAAAACAATGGGGCAAAACATTGGTTCGAACATGGGCAAAACATTGGGGCAAACATGAGCAAAACATTGGGGCAAACATGGGCAAAACAATGGGGCAAAACATTGGTTCGAACATGGGCAAAACATTGGGGCAAACATGAGCAAAACATTGGGTCAAACATGGGCAAAACATTGGGTCAAAACATGGGCAAAACATTGGAGCAAACATGGGCAAAACATTGAATCAAACATGGGCAAAACAGTGGGGAAAACATTGGTTCGAACATGGACAAAACATTGGGGCAAACATGAGCAAAACATTGGGTCAAACATGGACAAAACATTGGGGCAAACATGAGCAAAACATTGGGTCAAACATGGGCAAAACATTGGGGCAAACATGAGCAAAACATTGGGTGAAACATGGGCAAAACAATGGGGCAAAACATTGGTTCGAACATGGGCAAAACATTGGGGCAAACATGAGCAAAACATTGGGGCAAACATGGGCAAAACAATGGGGCAAAACATTGGTTCGAACATGGGCAAAACATTGGGGCAAACATGAGCAAAACATTGGGTCAAACATGGGAAAAACATTGGGTCAAACATGGGCAAAACATTGGGGCAAACATGAGCAAAACATTGGGTCAAACATGGGCAAAACATTGGGTCAAACATGGGCAAAACAATGGGGAAAACATTGGTTCGAACATGGACAAAACATTGGGGCAAACATGAGCAAAACATTGGGTCAAACATGGACAAAACATTGGGGCAAACATGAGCAAAACATTGGGTGAAACATGGGCAAAACAATGGGGCAAAACATTGGTTCGAACATGGGCAAAACATTGGGGCAAACATGAGCAAAACATTGGGGCAAACATGGGCAAAACAATGGGGCAAAACATTGGTTCGAACATGGGCAAAACATTGGGGCAAACATGAGCAAAACATTGGGTCAAACATGGGCAAAACATTGGGTCAAACATGGGCAAAACATTGGGTCAAACATGGGCAAAACATTGGGGCAAACATGGGCAAAACATTGGGGCAAAACAATGGGTCAAACATGGGCAAAACACTGGTTGAAACCAACAAAATGTTATGTTAAATATAAACAAACTAATCATTGGGTTAATTATTTTAATTAAGTTTAAATGCCACTTTTTAACATAATGAATGGGTTTTCCATGTCTGACCTAACGTTGGGTTACAATGACCAGGCATGTTTTTAGAATGTATACATTAGACTAGTTTTGTGTTTCCGGGTCACATATTTGATGTAAAATGTGACTCTTGACAGGAGCAGACTGTAAGTAAATGTCTCTAAACCCTCTAGAGTCTCCCCCAGCGGTCATTAAAGCTCCTCTACTGATGACCAGCTTTACTCCTGATGTGTTTCTCCTCTTTCTCGTGTCTCTGCTTTGCTGTGATCTCAGTATATTTCCTCAGCGTGCGGGTCGGTGATGCGAGGTGTTCATTGCTGGGTTATTTGGCTCTGTCAGTGTTCTGGTTAGCGTGTGTGTGTGTGTGTGTGTGTGTGTGTGTGTGTGCTGTCACTTACACACACTATCAGCAGAGACAGCGCAGGTTCAGTGGTCCGTCCCAGATGACGACAGATGAGCCAATGAGAGACGACAGATCATTCAGCCCGAACCAATGCACTGTCTGGACCAGAAACGCACAATTCTCTAGAGGAAAAGAGAAGATTTCTTTGAAAAACACTCCTGTGATTACATTTGGCTTCCTTGATTAATGAAAACACTGACAATTTATTCTTAATGAGTATTTTTGCATCGTTTCCAGTCAAAATTAACTACTAATTCCTTTATCCAGTATCAGGGGAAATTCAACACGTTTGATTTTTAAAGTGCTTGACATACTACACTCTATGTTTTCTATGTGAGCTGTCACTGGGATGGTACCTTTTTTAAAGACACACATTTGTACTTAAAGGGTCAATATTGGTACCTCAAAAGCATATATTTGTACCTAAACATTTTAGGAGAACACTTTTGTACTTTTTAGGTACTAATATGAACCCCTGAGGAATTATTAAGGACCCTTTAGGCACAAATGGTCAGCTTTTAAAAGGGTACCACCCCAGTGAAAGCTCACGTACCTTTATTTTTTGAGAGTGTACTTACTTCCTTTTGACATTTAAATATTTGTAAAATATTCCAGGGTTGTATGGCCATACACAATAAATGCGCTTTACAAATACGCATTACTTACATACTATACAGACCACGGCAACCTCATCCTCCAACACAGAAACTCTCAAAATCATTAGTGTATTATTGTTATGTAAAACATTTTGCACAGAAAGAAAAGTTCTCTAGATTCTGTCTTGCCCTGGTCATGACTATGGATGCAAAGTTTTACCAGATGGACTCTTTCCATATTTATTTTGACTTGTATTTGAATGCAGACAACATGAACACAAAATATTTCCGGTTTTGTCTGGTCAACTTCCTGTCATTTGTAAATATACATCCTTTCCTGCCATTCAGACCTGCAACCCATTCCAAAAAGAGTTGGGACAGGGGCAGTTTAGGGCAGGCTGTGAATTACAAGGGGCTTTGGGGGGTACTGACCTCTCTGAGGGGTCAGTCCTCTAAACAGTAAGAGAAAGTTTGCTCTGAAAAGTTTGTCCTTTCTGAACATAGCTAATGTGGTCCAGCGGTTAGCACGTTAGATTATGACGCCGAGGACCCGGGTTCGATCCTCTTTAGAGTAACTTATTGTTTTCATTTTTATTGTTAAGACATATAATACTGTTAGGGTTGTTAAACATTTAAATTTCTAAAGCAGCTGTTTTATCAAAAAAAGACGTGATAGTGTCATTAGAAACTGAATTGGAAATGACCTTATTTTAATATAGTCAGTCGTGAACTGAGGTGGGCCGGTCTGAGGCTTGAAACTCCAGGGCTGAAAAGGTGTCCCACTCCGGCCCTGCCTTAAAGGATCATGCGAGTCCCGAAGTTCGGAGGTTTTTCTTTCTGTTCGTCTTGCGGTATCAAATTCCATTAAAACATCCTGAATGAAAATCTGCTGAATGAGAGTGAATGAGTTTTAACTGCAGTTAAAGTCTAAAGATTAAAAATGAAAC